GGTTAGATTTTTTTTTTTTTTTTTTCGGGATAGTTTCTTTGTATTATTATTTGTGGGGAGGCTAGATATTTGTATTTATTTTTTGTGATTTGTGTTTTTTTCAGGGCATAGGTTTTTAAAAATATTTTTTGGGTGGTTAGACATTAGTGATTTGATATTTTTCTTTTTTTCTTTATATATTACGGATGAATGTGAGTTGTGGATCTGTGCGGAGCATCTGATGGTTGGATGAGGGGATTTTAAAGCTTCATTCGTGAGTTTTGTCTGTGTGTTTCAGGATAATAAAGTGAAGGGATCCCTCTCTGCCGCCACCAGAAAAGCATTAGAACGCAAGAAACTCATGTGAGTGAATCTGCAAGAAACACTCATCACATCAGTCAGTCACCACATCACATCACAATCAGTGCATCACATCCAGTGGTTAAACGGATCGTAGTTGATCCGTGAGTCATACGGACCAAGCCCCACGGTTGGGCACGCATGTGATCTGCGGATTAATTGCAAAATTTAACCATAATAGAGTATAAGTTTATCATTTGTTCGTATTTACACAAGCAAGCGAATTTTAAACAATTCCAGAGAGAAAAGGCGAAGGGAACTCGATTCGTTATTCACACGCTGTTCTCTACACGCACAGCCGCACACACAGCACTCGGTACGTCACATCATCACATCAGTCAGTACATCACATCAGTACATCACATCGCACTCAGTACATCACATCACGGTCAGTACATCACATCGCACTCAGTACATCACATCACGGTCAGTACATCACATCGCACTCAGTACATCACATCACGGTCAGTACATCACATCGCACTCAGTACATCACATCACATCATCTTATCACAGTCAGTACATCACATCAGGACATCACATCACACTCAGTATGTCACATCAGTCAGTACATCACATCAGTACATCACATCGCACTCAGTACGTCACATCACATCACGGTCAGTACATCACATCACACTCAGTATGTCACATCAGTCAGTACATCACATCAGTACATCACATCGCACTCAGTACGTCACATCACATCACGGTCAGTACATCACATCACACTCAGTATGTCACATCAGTCAGTACATCACATCAGTACATCACATCGCACTCAGTACGTCACATCATCACGTCAGTACATCACATCATCACATCAGTCAGCACATCACATCAGTACATCACATCGCACTCAGTATGTCACATCATCACATCAGTCAGTACATCACATCATCACATCAGTACATCACATCGCACTCTGTACGTCACATCATAACATCATGGTCAATACATCACATCAGTCAGTACATCACATCAGGACATCACATCACACTCAGTATGTCACATTATCACAATCAGTACATCACATCACAACATCAGTCAGTACATCACAGTCAGTCATCACAACAGTCAGGATGTCACATCATATCTTATCACAGTACATCACATCATCACATCAGTCAGTTCGTCACTTCACATTATCACATCACATCACAGTCATGAGAATGTCACACTCCCCATGTATTTCCAAAGGACCCGAACGTCATGCTGATTTATCACTATTTACTGCAGATATAAAGTTGAGATGTGAAGTACTGGTGACTGTCGTCAGGCTGATCTTAAAGCTCATCAGCTGCAATGTGTTTTATCAGGTTACAAAGGAAATCAGCTGACAGGAAGAAGTTTTCTCCGTCCAATGAGGAGAAATGGAACCTGGTGCCAAAGATCTGTCGGATTTCAAAGAAGATCACGCCGTTACGTGGAGCGCGATGAACCGACGCGAGGCCAAGCTCTCTTCAGATGTTCGACTGCAGTTTTATACTCGTTTTTATATTATTGTCTTTAAACACTATGCCAATTATTTAATGTAGTTTTATTTATATTTTTTTCTAGAATTCTCTGTATGTCTCGTGGCTTCAGCGCTGCGTTTCTTGCTGGATTTGTCTTGCGACGCTTTAATAAATTGATTAATTGTATTTTGTTGTATTTATCAAATGAACAAAAAGATCTAAAACACTTTTTATTCTAAAACACTGACTTTTTAACATTAATTTCAATCAATAATACAAGATCATCTTTTCAAGAAAATAGAATATCAGAGGTCAATTCTGGGTTCGTTTATACATCAGTGATTGACAGGTTATATAATGACTAATTTATGTATCAGGTAAAAGCAGCAGAGCTATATATATAAATGCAAAGTGATGATTTGAATTTGGAAACTCTTTACCTATAGAAGCTATTTCCACTACAGGAATAAAAAATGAAACAATCACAATTTTGACACTTTTTCTCACAATTCTAAAAAAAAAAAAAAAAGATTTTCTATAATGCAAGATTTTATGTTTTTTTTTTCTCTCTGAATTGCAAGAAAAAAGCAATAACGGGGACAAACGTCTGAACTGTGGGATAAAAAAAAAATTTACCTTTTTAATTTGTTTTTTTTGAGTCGGTAACCAAAAAAAAAAAAGATTTGTAAGATGTAAACTCACAATTTCAAAATAAAAGTCAGAATTGTGAGAAGTCTTTTTTTTTGTCACACTGGCTTCTCAAATAAAACTTGTAATAAATGGTAAGGGAAACACAACTGAGTTTAACATCTTTCAGAAATAAATGGTTTAAGCAAAGGCAGGTTTGTGAACACTGATGATTTAAGTCTTTTTTTTTTTAGTGTTTTAATGTGTTCAGTTTTGGACATTATAACAAATACAGCCACTGATGTGTGCTTAAATTTTTAATTAACTTTTTTTTTTTTTCATGATTTTAATTATCATGAAAATAATGTCTAAAATGGAGTGAAATATGACGGTTCTTCATATGCATGAAACAAAAACGACATTTATTGTCACGATGGTCATCGTGGCGACACGTCAATCCTGTGACATCAGCAGGAAGGGGCGTGTCCGAGTCAATAAAGCACCGATGTAGCATCAAGGATGTCGTTTCCCTGGAAACCTTCAGTTCCAAAAACCAATAAAAAATTAAATATGCAAATCCCAGAACCCCAGTGAGAGTGATCATGATTGAGTGTATTTGGTTCAGAAGATTCTCTTAAATCTCATCTATTATGTACAGCAGGTGTTGCTCTCGTCGTCTCTCTCTCTCTCATGCACTCGCACTCGCACACAGACACAGACACAGACACACACACACTCTCTCTCTCTCACACACACACACACACTCACACACTCTCACGCACGCACACACTCGCACACACACACACCTGAGCACACAGAGGAGGGGCTGCAAGGCATTATGGGATGTCTGAGAGACACCGGGTCCAGCGTGTCTCATGAGGTGCGTGATGGAGGCGAGTCTCAGGCTCCAGTGATTCGTGTCATGTGACGTTGACCTCCATCAGGTGAAGGTCAGCGGCGGGCAGCACTAACACCTGCTGGCCCTGTGTGCCGCTGAACACCTGTCCGGGGCCGAAAGCCTGGCGTTTGGGCATCGGGCCCCGCGGCTGCGCAGACTCTCCGCTGCCCAGAGACTGGACACTGCCTCGGCTGCGCAGACTCGCCGTCTCCGCCTGATCCTCCAGAGACAGACTGTCGTTCTCCAGACACGAGTCTGCGGAGCACAGAGAGTCATGACTCATATGAACCAGAACCGACTCAACGAACCGATTCACTGAACAATCAGCTGAAACAACTCTTCACTGCAAACCGCCAAAATAAAAGTTTCACTTGAACGAATTATGACGGAAAAAGTAACATGCACTTCTCAAATTAATAATTATTAATGATTAATAAAATACTATTTTTAAGTAATATTTTATTTTTAAGATTTTTTTTCCCTTCGTGTTTTAATTTATACATGAAAAGGCTGTTGTGCAGCACTGAATGAAAAAATAAATAAAATGAAAATAATACAAAATAAAAGATGAATACGATTAGTAAAATAACAAATAAAAACAATTTAAAAACACAGTGTTTTGCTGTGAAGGAATTGTATTTTCATTTGGTTATCTGTTTAAAGATTGATTAAACTGTTCAGGTTTTATGAATTTAGTGAGTTTAATGAATGATGAATCCACACAAAATCAAGCAGAAGTCCAAATGAACCAATTCAGGAAAATGAATCAGAATTGAGATTAGTTTCCCTAAAGTACATTTCCTCAAAGTTCTTCACTACAAACCAGACGAAATTGACAAAATTATGATTATACAAAATTAAAATTATGATTATAAAAAGTAAAAGCTACTTCTTAAATTAATAATATTTATTAAAATATCATATTGAATATCAGTCAAATATATTTTCTTTCACATTTTATTTATATAGTAAACCTCTGTTGAGCAGCACTTAATAATAATAAAAAATAAACGGTAATAATAAATTAATAAAAATACTTAGTTGTAAAGGAATTGTTGTATTTTCATTTGATTACATATTAAAAGATTGATCAAACCAGAGGCGCTCAAACTTTTTAATAAAAAGGACCAAAAATCTAAATTTACATTATATCCAAATATATTATATTAAAATGTATTAATTTAAGATGTTTTTAAATAATGAAGCAAACCTTTAAATAGCAATTAATTTACATTTTAAAAGAATTTTTAAATCAAATTCACTGATATTATTTTTTAAATGCAAAAAAAAGAAGCTAAAAACAAACATAAAAAATATTTTAAAAAACATTAAATATAAAAAAAAAATTTTACAAAAATAATTCTTTATATTAAAATTTTTTTATATATATATATTTTTTTTATATGTATATCAATTTGAAATGAAGATATGTTTTTTTTCCCATGGCATAAAATCAAAGGTCATCAAAGGTCAACTTTGGGCATCTCTGGATTCATTCATAACATTTGAAGAGTTTCATTAGTTTCTCATCACTTCTGATGATGGATCGCACTAAAGCATGACTAAACCACTGGTGTTGGTTGAGGAGTGACCCCCCCCCCACATGATTGTAAAGTGCTTTGGGTGTACAACAATACACAATAAAGCGCTATATAAATGCATCATTCATTCATTCATGACGCGAGCTCTAGACAGAAGTAGAGAGTCTGGCTCCTGACCGGTGTCCGGCTGGATGACGGGGCTGGCGAGGCGCGGCTGGTACTTGAACACACGGATGCTGGGGACGAGCAGGTGACCCGCGAACAGAGGCATGACCTCCATGTGAACCTTGTGTGTCCCCATGGCAGCCACCGGCATGGAGACGACCCCTGAACTCTTCCCGCACACCGCCCAGTTACCCCAGTTACTAATCACTGCAGACACACACACATGTCAGCATCTAGATTATTAATACAAATAAAGCCAAACAAGCCAAACAAACATCCTTGCATTTTACAAATTATGATTCAAAAATGCACATAAAACATAAAAATTAAAAAATAAAAAATTAAATATTTTTACAGTACAATAGCATTATTAAAATGTATTATTTTATAGTTTATTATTTTTATTTAGCAATAGCAATAAAAATAATAATAATACAATCATTATTATTTTATAATAAGATTTTTTAACTCTTTGCATTTTAAAACTGATGCTTTAAAAATATATATTTTTTGTTTTTGTGTTGTATTTGTTTATTTGGGAAGCTGAATGACCTCAAATAATCTGAATTTATACACTAAACCTCTGATATGCAGCACTTAAAATTAAATAAAAATATATATATATAATATATATGCAATATTTAGTTGTAAAGAAATTGTTGTATTTTAATTATAAAATTTAATTTAATTATAATTGCAGTATTTTAATTAACTTTTAACACATAAACCCGTCTGGAAAACATAATAACATGCATTTGCAACCTAAAATTAAATACACTAAACTGCTTAATAAAAATATAGAAAATACAAAATAAAAATAAAAAGGCAATGTTTGTTCTAAAGAAATTGTTGTATTTTAATTATTTGCTTTTCATGAAATCACAAGTCTTAGTTGGGAAAATGTATTACAGTGCAATTAAAGCTAAAACATTAAACCTCTGATGTGCAGCATTTCATTAAAAAAATGAAAATAAAAAATAAAAGCAACAATAAAAAATGCAATGTTTTGAAAAGGAACTGTTGTATTTTAATTAAATCTTGATTTATACAAGTAAACCTCTGCTGTGTAGCACTTAAGACCTTTCTTTAGCCTAGCTCTGGAGGAGTCTGTACCTTCATACAGGAGTCTGCTGCTGCGCAGGCCGTCTGTCTCGCTGTACTCCTCGTCTGAGTCGCTGGCTTCAGAGAGACGCGTTAGAGACACCTCCAGCCTGCAGAGAGAACCGGTGCAACACTGCTGCTCTCCCACCGCCGGCCGGATCTCTGCTCGCACGCTGTACAGCGTCTGACACACACACACACACACACACACACACACACGACAGGATCACA